CAACCGTCACCGGCCCTCGTGTTCTATTGCCCCAAGGCACCATCGTGCCAAATTTGACGCGCCTGCGGCGCCGGGAAGTGCCCTATCGGGCATCTGACCACTTTGCTTTATATATATAGATATATATATATATATATATATATATATATATATATATATATATATATATAATATAATATAATATATATATATATATATATATATATATATATATATATATATATATATATATATATACAGTCTACATAGGCCTATATATAGTTGCAATTGGCGTCTCCGCACTCCCATTTTGCCTAATGGCATCAATTTGTACGCACATTATATTAATCCAACAAATTAAATTTTGCAATCGGTGTCTCGCCCCCCCCCTCCCGGGTGATATATATATATATATATATAAAGTTTATAGTAAAGATGTTTATAGTCAGTTATTAACCCATGTGGATTAACTCTAAGTAATGACAAAAAGCGTATTTCTTCTATATATTTTGTCAGTTTTCTCCAAGTTTTTACTTGCTAAATGGTGTCATCTGACCACTCACTGACTATTAGTCATTTTGTTCTGTTTACCATCAGCTAACAAATTCTCACATGACGCATCCGCTTAATTTTACCCTTCGCAACCTGACTGTGTCCGCATTACGTCCACCGTGATACAGGATATTATAGAAACAGGTCAATCCCTTTCCGGTTTAGAAACGTATAAAACTAGAACCACTCAGTTAACGAAATAAGAAACAAGATATCACTAGTTTACCCAGTCGATTCACACTAGACCTGTTAGCCGTATAATAAATTAATGAAAATGTCAATTTCACTGAGTGCGTTACTGGTCGTTGCTATAGCAACCGTGGAGACATTCGCCTACGTCAACGACTGGGACCAGCCGTTTGATTTCAGATGTCCGTCTGGTCAGGCCATCAGCTACATCTCTAGTATCCATAGCAACCGTCACGAGGACAGGAGGTGGGAGTTTTTGTGTCGGAGTGTGGGAGCTACACACTCTTGTGAAGACAGCGGTAAGAAATAATTAGCTCTAAATTCTCTAATTGCTAATTAAAAGTAAGGTTAGTTGCTCTTGTCACTAAAATAGGTAAGCCAAGAACTTTTAAAAGAGTTCCACATTTCGAATTAACTTAAGACCAGACAGGTTTCAGGTTTAAAACATTTTTTTTACTCTTAACGCATTAAAAAAAAATTGGCCAATATTAAGAAACATGCTTCCTTGCCTACCAATTTAATGTTACTGTTTTAAAATAAAAATGTAAGGTGGTATGAAGGACTTTTGAAACACGCTTGTACCGTTTTACAAATTTTTACCCGCGGAATCAATATCTAAAAGCGATTATATAGTTTTAAAAAAAAATCCTAGTGAATGTTATTAAAAGAGATGTTTGCATAAACTTGGTGATAATGTGAATTTTGTATCAGTTTTGTAAAAAATTAGATGTATTTTTTTATTATTCACATTTTATGTGATTAGACAAATATTTGTAAACATCAGAAGCTTTGGGTTTCAAACAAACATTCCGTAACAAGGTAACGCTGACGTTTAATATAAACAGATATTTACCAAAAGTAAAGTTGGGTTTCTGGTGCCAAATTAATGACGGTCATGGGAAATCAATATTATAATTTCGAATGTGATATGACTAAGATTAAAAAAATGTGTTGATTTTTTGAGAAATAAGTTTTTTTGTTAACTACACAAAATTCGTAAGAAGCAATGGTTTTTTTTTTTTTTTTTTTTTTTTTTTTTTTTTTTTTTTTTTTTTTTTTTACACGAATCGGACTTATGCGAGTGTTGTTGATAGAAACATACTTTAATATAACAATTTGAACATTCCAGGTTACGTGAACGACTTTGACCAAGCACTGGCCTACACATGTCCAGGTGACAAAGTCATGACCGGCGTGGCCAGTTACCATAACAACCGTCACGAAGACCGCCGGTTCAGATTTCAGTGCTGCAACATCTCCGGCAAAACGCCGCGCAACTGCTACGTCACCGGTGACGTCAACACCTGGGATGGCAAGCTGACCTTGAACGTTGCGGAGGGCAGTGTGGTCAAGGGCGCTTTCAGTCACCATAACAACCGCCGGGAAGACAGACTTTGGAGATACAGCATCTGTAGTATTTAAAAAAACGATGGTTTGTGAAGCATTTATATTTAAGACGTGTTTTCTCTCTGAGAACTTTGTAAATGTCCGGATGTATTTTATGTTTATTTTACGTTATACTTTATAACTACAAAAATAACGCTCAGGAACCAAACGGAATAAATACAGTTTAACTTTTAAAACTATGTAGGCCTATTTGTTTTATTTATTTATTTATTAATAGAGGAATTTTAAAATACGTTTTAAAATTTTAAAATTTCAAATACATATTTCATTGCTTATAAACTATCGAGTCCCTGAGTCCACCCAGCTCTGTTGGGTACCTGAATTACGTTAAGAAAAAATGGCGGCTGGTCAAAGTTCTGACCACACTGCCTCCCCACCCCCCTTGTATATACAGGTCATTGAAGCAGATGAACTCTACTTCCTCTACCTCATATGTCTTGGTTGGGCAAGAACAGGATTGATGAGTCGAAATTCGGCAAAGACAATTTATTAATATCAAACAGACAACCATTTTTCTGACAACTTACACGAATCATAAAACAATGGTTAAACATTGGCAGACATATGTACACATTGTTGAACCACACTTGAGCAGGTTTTGTACACACAGTAATACCTGTGTTTTGTAACACATAGGGAAGCAAATAAATAAAGAAAAGCAGGCTGAAATATTTTGTCGCAATTGTGATCGAAGAAGAAGACTACATAATGAAACTATATGAAAAATACACATTATCCTATTTAATATAACTCTACACCATCCACCACATATTAGATAACATAACTTTACACCATCCACCAAATATCAGATGACATATCTCTACACCATCCACCAAATATCAGATGACATAACTCTACACCATCCACCAAATATCAGATGACATAACTCTACACCATCCATCAAATATAAGATGACATAACTCTACACCATCCACCACATATCAGATATCATAACTCTACGCCATCCACAACATATCAGATAACATATCTCTACACCATCCACTACATATTATCAGATAACATTACACCATCCACTACATAAAGCCTCTAAAAACTAGATAGAGACTACTAACAAGACGATCCCAACATATTGGCTCCTGAAAGAATACATCTAACGGAGCCATGATACAGCAACTCACATTAACGTCAAGCTTTGCCTCTACCGCTAAATCTTAGAATAGTTTGTGTCCCTTATGTAAGGGATCCAAAATTAACTAAAACATAATAATGACACTTGTATGTATAGTTATTTATACAGTTTAAAGATTAAAAATTTAAAAGGATAATTTAAGATTAAAAGTCTAGGGGTCTTATAAATGATTGAAAGCTAGAGTTAACTTAAAGTTCTCAACAGAGACTAGTAATTACATATATTATGTATTGTCAATGTTATAGTTGTAATGATAGATAAGAAAGAAAAGTACATGATGAGTTTTGTTTTTATGTTTATTATTTTTAACAATTTAATTATTCTATAAAGTTGTTTCTCTTGTTTTTTTAATGATTTGTATAGGGGAAGTAATGCAGTAAGAAAGGGGTGCAAAAACAGATCGTGTTGTCTCTATTGGGTAAAAATAAAATATTATTTAATTAAGTTTGTATGATTGCACTTGAAAGCCTACAGCCGTGTGTAACGAAGTAACCTTTTCTGCGAAGACACGAAGTGGCGTATCATCATATGGTAGAGAGAAACTACTTTTAAACAAAGAACAAGAATAAACATACACCCTGTGTTAATACATTGCGTATTTTTACTGCTGAATTATTTGTAAGTGTTTAAAGGTTGATCTACACAACCACCCCATAAAATAATTCATATTCATTCGTGCGAAAAAGCGTCCCTATCTATTATGGGTAAGGTTGAAGGGCGTTTTTATGCTGTAACTGTAATTGATTCTTAAAGGTATTTTTTTTACCTCGTTACACAATCAACAGCTTATTCAGTACGTAAAGCTTTGTAAAATACAATTTTCTCAACATCAACTTTAGTAAAGCCGCTACGAATTGCCTTTTTAATTTTAATTTAGGTCAGAGCCGGTAAGATGGTGAGGGGTGGGTGGAATATATTTATAATTAGAATAAAGAAAACAAACAACGTTAAATGTAAAATAATTATAAATTCTACCCAACACATAATTTAACGATTTGATGTTAATTATTTAGTTTTGAAACTAATTGATTTATAATTATATAAAAAAAATCAATTCGTATCAAAACTAAATCATTAACATCAAATCGGTAAAATGTGTGTTTTAAAATTATATCAAACAAATCAATTCGTTTCAAAACTAAATCATCAACATCAAATCGGTAAAATACGTGTTTTATAATTATATCAAACAAATCAATTCGTTTCAAAGCTAAATCATCAACATCAAATCAGTAAAATATGTGTTTTATAATTATATCAAACTAAACTCGTGCAAAAGAAGAAATGCTACCCTCTTGACAGATGGTCATATTTGTTATAACTTTGGCGGGGATGTGAAATTGTGACTGTGTCATAGTTCAAGAACATCCAATATTATATTGACTATTTATTAATTTTCTTTTGGCTGTAAACCCAAAATTTAAATATATCTGTATAATTTTATATAATTCTCTGCATGGGTCCATGTGATACACCACGTAAACGCACGCCGTTACTCCCTCGCTCTCCAGGCATATCACTACCACCCCCACCCGCGCCAGTCTGGTGAGGAAAAGTAGAAAATAAAATCTGAAAAGTAGAAAATAAAACAACTAAATAGCGGCGTATGCTTACGGCGCGGGTCAGCTCGCTTGATACATTTCCGTTGCTTTTATCTCCATGAGAGAAACTACAAAATCTTCTATAAATTAAAAAGATAACCTTTTAATTATATTAGCAAATATTAGACCCCAGTGAGAACTGAACTCACGATCCCTGGTTCACAAGACCAGTGCTCTAACCACTGAGCTATAGAGTAAACGGTAATGAACAACATAATAACAATTGTTTTACGCAATCCGCACTGTACAAAAAGGGAATATAATTCAAATTTTGTCGGTATTATTGTGTCGAGTTTGTTAAATATTCACATATCACACAACTTAATTAATTCCAAAATCACAACCTGTATTTTGTTCATGGATGAACAAACGATATGGTATCAAATCCAGAATAAAAAGTAAATTTAAATTGGAGTCAATAATTGCCTATATGGCTTATAACAAGTCAAATCTCAAAGATTGAAGTTTCGCATCTGGACTGACATAAGAGTCATTATTACGTCATTGTGGACTTGAAATCCCGCGTAGGTTCGAATCCTGCCGTCGTATGCAGGAAAGAATCGGATTTGATTTACAAGGTAGAAAAGCTAGCAACTAGAATGCACCAAACATATTTATAGATTGTTTCTGGTCTGATTAGCATACAAAGAGTTTTATCATGTCTTCCAGAATGATTTTTTTAAAAGCAGGTTCTACCTACCGGATTGAGATTTTTAAATCAACCGGAAGTGATCTTCCCTAAACTTTCTCGAATATTCTTATATAACTTGGAACATGCGTTTTTTGAGAAATCGGAAATAGCAAAAATTAGTACTTCCGGTCAACGGAAATTACTCAAAATTTGACAGAAGGTAAAGAATTAGATCTTTTACTTACATGTGAAATTTCATTTATCTATCTGAAATAGTACTCAAGTTATAGGCTTTTGAAAAATTAAAAGTAGAAAAAGTACCACTTCTGGTTATCGGAAATAATTCAAAAGTTGATACGGATCTACGATTTTGATAAAATACTTATATATGAAATTTCATCAACCTAGCTGTAACGGTACTCAAGTTATCGTGTTTACACACAGACAGACAGACAGACACACACACACACAGACACACAGACATACGGACAAGATTACAAAATTATGTTTTTCCGTATCAGTGAGGTGTAAAACGTCGAGATTTGTAAAAATCTCGATTTTTTTTTTTTGCACGATTACAAGACTTTCTCTATACTTCGTATATACGAGAAAGTAAAAAAAAAGTCTCTAAAAAAACTAAAAAATAACAACATCCGATTGCGGGAAAGAGTAGTTACTGAAGCCTAACAAAGAAAATAACCAAGAAACAAGTATGGCAGGTATAGAGAGGCTGGTATTTTAACTTTAGAAATTTGAACGCAAATTATAATTCTAGGTCATCAGCTGTTACTCTGTACTATGCAACAGAACAAAAAAATGAAACACACTAATCTTGTTTTATATTAAATCTCATTTCTGGTTCAGCGTTATATTCTTACGGTGTGATTTTTGTTTTATTTGACGATTCAAGAATAGAGCGAGCCTCGTTATTATGAACTAATATACTCTTTTCGACGACCACTAATATTTTGACAAACACAGGTTGGTTAAAAGTTATAAGTTTTGTTTTGCAATATTACAATCTCTATATTTTTATTACTGTGAATGTTAACGAAGCAGTTGCGAGGGGGTGGGTTGGATTTTAGAGGAGTTTTAATCCACGTCCTAAAGAACCCCGCAGAGGCGTAGCGAGGGGGGGGCATATGTCCCCAGGCGTCGACCTTAGAGGGCGCCAAAATTAGTTGGAAAAACAAATAGAAAGTTTGAGGGGGGGGGATGCAAATCTAAAGTTTGAGGGGGGGGGGGGGGGAATCAAAAGTTTGTCCCCGAGCGCCGGGAAGGGTAGCTTCGCATCTACCCCCCCTTCTTCCACCCCCCCCCCCACACACACAAACGCCTGCAAGGAAAGTTGCTTGACATTTAGTTACAGCTGTTTTCTACGGTGAATTAATTTTTGCGTTTTCTACGATTCCATCAACGTTTTTGATTATCACATACGAGCTGTCCCTCGTCGTAAGCATACGTCACTATTTAGTTGTTTTATTTGCTACTTTTCAGTCATTCATAATTTGTGAATTCGACACTACCCTCTCTTCCCCACTTCTCTCCCATCCCCATTCCCCTCCGTTCTGCCCTCCGTCCTCCCCCCCTTCCTGCTCCCCCTCCTCTCCTTGAAAGCGGCCGTCTGTGACGACAGTTTACAGACGACAATGAAAAGATCAAGAAGAACTTGGTTTCAAAGTGTTTAAAAGCATTGTAAACATTCGGGGTGAACAACAGCTCACCAGACTGGTGGGGTGTGGGTAGTAGCGTTAAGCTTAGAGAGCGGAGAAGGAACGGCTAAGCCCTTACTTTGTGGTGTCTTGTATGGTCCCCACGTAGAGAATTATGTATATAGATGTGGGGTCGGCGTGGTCAGGCCGGTAATCTTATGGTTGCTACCCAACCAAAACCAAACAGGTACTGCTTTGCTATTTCAATATCTTAAATTTAAACCTCGTAGCACAAATACAGGCCTCCATAGCTCAGTGGCTAGAGCACTGGTCTTGTAAACCAGGGGTCGTGAGTTCAATCCTCACTGGAGGCTAATATTGTTTTTGTGTGATAATATATTTTTTACAAAAAAAAAAAAGAACAAAATAAAGTACTTTGAAAATATTGATTACGAGCCGGCCCGCGGCATAACATACGTCGCTATTTAGTTGTTTTATTTTCTACTTTTCAGTAATTCATAATTTGTGAATTCGACAGTACCAACTCTTCCTCTCTATCACTATCACTACCACCCCCACCCCACCCCCACATGATCTGGTGAGCGGTGTTCACTCTGTTTACATTTTACAATCATAGAGACGGGTTTGGTGACGGCTATTAGGGGCAGATAATTTAGTTTGAAACGATTTTAAACTTACAGGAGGTAACTAAGAGGAGGCTGCTTTCACGTGGGGGGGGGGGGGGGGGGGGGTTAGTGTTTTTAAGCAAATATTTTCAATGGCAGCATTGGTACTGTCGAATTCACAAATTATAAATTTCTGAAAAGTAGAAGAAAAACAACTAAATAGCGACGTATGATACGCAGCGGGTCAGCTCGTTTAATTTATTTACGAAAGAAATGAAACCATTTTTTTTCGTAAATAAAAAACAAATCAATACCTAAAAAATATTACAGCCCCCAGTGAGGATTGAACTCACGTCCCCTGGTTTACAAGACCAGTGCTCTAGCAACTGAGCTATGGAGGCCTGCTGAGCCGCATTTTGCTCAAAGTATTATTTTCTCAAGTCTAGACATAAAGAAATATTTAGGCCTATATAGCTTACATTTACATGAGATAAAGTTTTGGATGGGTAAGGATTCACTATTTGATGATAAATTCTGAACGTCAGAGTTTCTTTCAGACATCTCGATTGATAGGGGGGGGGGGAGGAGGGGAGAGACTGGGGAAGACACAAGGGGAAAGGCAGGGTATAAACACTATTCATTGTAGCATTTGACTTGCAAAAGTAGCATTTATTAAACTGAGTTAGCACTTGTGCGGAGGAAGCAGAAATTATTAGTGTAAATTACTTGTTGTGAAAATGAAAAACATTTTTTAAATTGCCAGCGGTTTAGAGAAGCATACAGTCCAATACTATCTACAAATTACCGACAAAAGTAATGCGTATACCGTATATAGATAGTATAGGTTGTTTTTCAAAATGGAGGAGGGAACGCTACGTCAACTTAAGATAAGGTTGGGGAAATTTTAAACAAAAATAACGTCGTCGGCAGGATTCGAACCTACGCGGGAAGATCCCAATGGATTTCAAGTCCATCGCCTTAACCACTCGGCCACGACGACTGTATTTGTAGTGGAACTTGTAAACTTAAATCGGGCAGCCGTGCCTAATCCGTTAATTAAAAAAGATTTTCTGAGATCAATTTAATCCCCAGGTATCCCTGATAATTTATTCGATTTTACACACACTCAGTAAGTTATGCCATTAAAATAACAAAATGAATGTCAAGCCCCCAGTGAGGATTGAACTCACGACCCCTGGTTTACAAGACCAGTGCTCTAGCCACTGAGCTATGGAGGCACATGTTTGCAGTACCCTTTTGTATAAAAATAATTCTTCAAATCGACATGTTACTATATATATATTTGTTAACGGATCGAAAGTCTCCATCTGTTGACGGGCTCGTTTATTGTACGTGCTTTCAGTGCCGAATCAATTGCGTGTGGTAGCGAATCTATTTCTGTAACACCAACCAGGATATTGTAAAACATAAAAAAATAGTAAGTTTAAAACACGTTTTGCTCTAGTTCAGGAAAACAACTAAAATTCAAATTGTTTAAGCCTAGACCTATAGGCCTCGCTAGCAGAGGCGTAGCGAGGGGGGGGGGGGGACGGGGGGTGCGGACCGCACCTGGTGACACCATTTAGGGGGGTGACACCAAGGCAAAAAATAGTAAAATATATAGAGAAAAATTTGAGGGGGGGGGGGTGAAAATAGAAAGTTTGAGTGGGGGGGGGGTGCAAATCGAAAATTGAAAGTTTGTCCCTTGGAAGAGTCGCTACGCCTCTGAGGGGGTGACACCATTAAGTGCCGCACCGGGTGACACCCGACCTCGCTACACCACTGCTAGCAAGTTAATAATGTAATTCTTATCAAGGTTTTACGCGTTGTGTTTAGTTAAGGAATAAATATAATTTATTTGAAAAAAAAAATTAATAGGATTTAGAAGTAGCGATTAGCATTGCTAAAAACAGTAGGCTATTAACAAAGTTATTTTACAAGCGAATAGATTTATTTGCTGTGAAAAAAAGATTGGAAAAAAGAAAGATTAAACAAAATTCACATCAAGATTATGTAATCTATGCCTACATATTTACACGTCTTGAAAGGTATATAGCATAAATTGCATGCCCAAACAAACATAAAATCGCGAAGAAGGGTGCGGAAACCGTCAGTCAGGTGACATTTGTATCTTGCAGTTTATTGCATTCTGCTTGGTTAAAGTGCGAAAACGTTTGCGAAAATCTAAAGGGCGAACATGTTTGCGAAAATCTAAAGTGCGAACATGTTTGCGAAAATCTAAAGTTATAAACGCGTTTGCAAAAATCTAAATTGTAAACGTGTTTGCA